CAAACAGACATGACAAAATCTTGCATTTCTGTTCATTTATAAATTGCACATGGAAGTCTTGTATAGTCTCAGTTTGCATTGATTTCTTGTGGGGAATGGAGAGAAAATGTATTACTTCGACTTCAGCTCAGGATAGCTAATCAAGACCAAGTGCCTGCCTCTGCTGTTAGCATGGTAAAGGGGGGAAAAGAGATGTCCTTTAAGAACACATTTCTTCTTCTCATTCAATTCCAAGTGTTTTCATTTAGTTTGAAAGCTTTAACATAATTACAGGCTACTAACGTTTCAAGTCACACCAAGACACACTCTTTTACAATATTGGTTTTGAAAGCATTTACTACTATTTCACAGATACAGTGAACAAATTGTTAGAGCTGACCATTAATCTAAAAATGAGTGGTTAAAAATGACAAACGAATTCTCAGAAAGATGAAACACACCTACTTAGTAACATCTTCCTAGAATGCTACAACATTAATTTGATTGGGGGGGGGGGGACACACACAGAATGTGAGCTATCCAGCAGCCTTTTTTTCTGGCCAAGGATTTTTCTGGTCAATGAAAGAGTAAAGCAAATACCTTTTGTTGAAATCAGTGAGACTTAAATATTTTACATCTGTGAGGTTTTCCCTCACAGAAGTCACAAATGAAGATGTCACACATGAAGATGGCAGAATATACATCCAAATTTCATGCAAAGCAATTTGAACAGATGCAGGAAACAGAAACCACTGGAAAACATCTACCAAGTGATTCCTAACACATTTTGAGCTCTGTCAGCTTTTCATTTATGAAGTACTGATTTTGAAAACATATTTCATAGCACTTTTTATAAGGAGCTACACAATGTATATGTCTTGCAAGGAATTTCTTCTAGACTGGAAAGGGATAAAAATGGGAATTGTTTACCTTCCATCTCCATGGAAATTACTTTTGGACATGGCATCAGGTTCAGCTGTTCAAGGGGAAAATAGAAGTCATATATCCCACCAGACTAGCACAAGGCCCTTGCCTGAGCTTTATATAATCCAGTACTCATTCCACAGTACTGTACTAGCCTTTCGTCTATGTACACAGAATAGTTTTTCAGAAAGCTGAAGGCAGTATGATGAGAAACAGAGTTGCCCTGGAGAGGCTTTGGCTGGATGTGGTAATGGTTTTTAGGATGTTAGTTTATTGTATAATTTTGTGTGTATCTGGAAACTACTTGAGCATATATTAGGAAAAGTGGGATACAAATATAAACATGTAAATATGTGAAAGAAATACACCATCATTGTCTGAGTCACATATATTCATTCCCCCTCCCCCATACTGCTATTGGAACATCAGAAAACTTGCAAAACTATTTGACCAGAGACCATGGACTGTGACAGCTTGTCCATGCAGACAGGATCCTTAGAAGTTTGAATCTTACCACCTGCTTCTATGGCCCTTTTCCTTTCTGACTACTTACATATGGGGGGGACGGACACAGCTGACTGGGTACAAGAAGGAGTAAATGCCTCTACAGGCGGGTGGTTACCCAAGTCTTGAAAGAGAAGTCTACCCTTCACCGAGGAGGAGATCTCATTAACTATTGACCAGTCTCAGATGTTCCATTCTTAAGCAAGGTAGTTGGTAATGGCTGGATAGCTCTGAGCTTTCCCGGATGAAGGAGATCCTTTCCAATCTGTTTTTAAGTCTGGCTATGGGACTGAAATAGAGTTGGTCATCCTCGTGGATAACCTGCATTGGAAGATCAGCAGAGGGAGTGCTACTCTGTTGATTCTTTTGGACATCTCAGTGACTTTTGACACCCATTTTGCAATAGGGTTGCAACCTCCCGGTGGGGCTCAGAAATCTCCTGCTATTATAACTGATCTCCAGACTGCAGAGATCAGTTTCCCTGGAGAAAATGGGTGCTTTGGAGAGTGAACTCTATGGCATTGTACCCTGATGAGGTCACTCCCCTCCCCAAATCCCACCCTCCCCAGGCTCCCCCCCCCCCAAATCTCCAGATATTTCCCAACCCAGAGTTGGCAACCCTAGTTTGCAAGGCACCGTTTTACAGTAGTTCCAGTCCTACCTGGAGAGTAGGTTTCATAAGGTAGTTCTGGGGGACTGCGGCTCAGCCTCTGCCTCTGACCTGTGGAGTTCCCTCTTGTCTCCTGTGCTGTTTAACATCAACATGAAACTGCTGGGTGAGAGACAGATCAAGATGGGTAGCCATATTAGTTTGTTTGTAGCAGCAGAAAAGAGTAAGAGTCCAGTAGCACCTTAAAGACTAACAAAATCTGTGGTAGGGTATGAGCTTTTGTGAGTCACTGCTCACTGAAGACGTTATCTGAAGAAGTAATGACTCACAAAAGTTCATACCCTACCACAGATTTTGTTAGTCTTTAAGGTGCTACTGGACTCTTACTCTTTTCTACTGGTGGGGTAGAGGTTTGGGCTGGTTGTCACCAATATGCGGATGCAACTCAGCTCTGTAACTCATGATTCTGGCTGATCAACTGGAGGCTGTAGAAAGCCTGAGCCGGTGCCTGGAGGCAGTTTTGGAGTGGAGGTGCAGGCTAATAAACTGAATCTTAATCCTGACAGGACAGAAATGCTACTGGTGGGTGGAAGGCCTGACCCCGGATTTAAAGTGCCACCCATTCTGGATGGGGTTGCATTTCCTTTGAAGAGACATCTCCATAGTCTGGGAGTGCTCTTGGACCCAGGCCTACTGCTGGATGAGCAAGTGGTATCTGTGGCCAGGAGTCCCTTTTACCAGCTTTGACTGGCTAGCCAGCTGCAGCCTCTGCAGCACATTACATCTAGATTAGATTCACTGCAATGCACTTTATATGGGGCTGCCTGAAAAGTACTGAGACTGACGAGTGATTACAGCTCTCATACTCTTATTAGTGCAGAACAAGACGACTTTAGCCGGCTCGCAGGCCGGCTTATATTCCCAGTGAAACCACCACCCAAAAACACCCCCCTACACCATAATAGGCTATTTACAGCGGCTGAGAGTTCCATGGGTTCTCGGCTGGGAGCCTAGCCCTTGGACTGGTGCGGGCTAGGATCCGCTTAGTCCATTGTTCACTGGAGTGAAACTTGGAGGTTTAGCCGGACCGCGTGGTGCCCCTGTTTGCCATGCGGTCGGGACTGGATACATTACACTGCCCTTTAATTGTGTTTGAGAACTTCAGTTGGTGCAGAATGCTGCAGCCAGGATGTTGACTGAAGTGGGTCGAAGGGACCACATCACTCCAGTCTTGGCCACCTACACAGGCTCCCAATCTGTTTCTGGGCACAATTCAAGGTGCTGTCCTTTAAAGCTCTGTATGGTTTGGGATCAACATACCTGAAAGACTACCCACTCCCTTATGAACCTATCCATCCTCTATGGTCACCTTCCAGCACCTTGCTTGGAGGATGGGGCATGCCTTCCGAAATTAGGCTGGTGGCAACCTGGGAGAGGGCCTTCTCAGTTGTGGCACCCAGCTTCTGGAACTGTCTCTCCAAGGAGACTCATCTGTCCCCTTGTTGCCATCTTCCACCAGCAAATGAAAACTTTGTTTCATTTCGCATTCCCTCAATTATCCCTTCTTTGAGTCCAGTGTTTTGTTATTTTTATGTTTTCATATATATTGTAGCTCTAGTTTTGTTTTAATGATTTTAATTAGTTTTAATGATTTAAAATGTGATTTTATTAATGTATGTTTTTGTTAACCACCTTGGTGGCCTTATGAGGGCAGAAAGGTGGCATATAAATTTTGTAAAATAGAAATGGTTCTGAAAAATTATCATTTATACAGAGAACCAGTGGTCTAACCACTGCTCAATATCCCTAATCCTATAACAATTTGATAGAATGTCTCTATTAAAACATAATAATATGTATCAGTGCCATATTGAACACCTGACTCTCCAAAGCTTACACCCCCAAAATCTTGTTGGTCTCCAAGGTGCTACTGAGACTCATATCTAGCTCCTGAACATATCTGGCTCATTGGATCAGACTATTGGTCTATCAAGATCAGTATTTTCTATTCTGATTGGCAGTCCGTGGTCTCAGGGTGATATCTTTCAAATCACCTACTATCCAATCCTTTTAATTGGAGATTGAACCAGGAATCTCCTGCATGTAAGGCAGAGAGAGAAGAAGAAGAAAAGAGATTGGATTTATACCCCGCCCTTCACTCGGAGTCTCAGAGCGGCTTACAAACTCCTTTCCCTTTCCACACAACAGACACCCTGCGTGGTGGGTGGGGCTGAGAGAACTCTGACACAAACTGCTCTTTTCCAAGGACAGCTGTGCCAGAGCTTGTGACTGACCCAAGGTCACATCAGCAGGTGCAAGTGGAGTGGGGAATCAAACCCGGTTCTCCCAGATTAGAGCCCGCGCACTTAACCACTACACCAAACTGGCTCTGCCACTGAGCTATACGCCCTCCTCTCAACAAGATTAGAGATCTATTCTGCAACCCTATCTTTGCTTACCTGGGAGTAAGACCCACTGAGCATTGTACGTCTTCTGCAGAGGATCAAACTTCCCGGAACTCACAGCTCGCTATAACACTTACAGATCGCAAAATCTATGCTATTTTGTTTTTATCCAGCCCTTCTCCAACATGTATGCTACTCTAAGACTTTCTGTGTTACGAGACTGAGGATACTGAGGAATGGTTAAGCCGCTGACACTTCATAGAAGAAAGGAACTTTGGCCACGGTAACTGTCTGAGTTGCCCGCTCTTAGTCTAGTTTTTCCCATCTTGCTCGATGGCCGGTAAAGGAACGCCCCAACAGCCTCTGCCCGTGCTCAGAGGCACCACTTCCTTTCTCTACCGTTACCGGGGGAGCTGCCCTGGGTCCCCAGGAGAGCCAGACGCAGCACGCCGAGAAGGGCGGCGTCCGAGGCCAGAGACGCGGCGATCGAGCAGATCCCGCCATGCCGCGGGGGGCAGCAGAGAGCCCGCAACCACGTCGGGCGCGAGTTCCCGCCTCTTCCTCCCCGTCTGCCGCCGCTCGTCGGTCGCTAGTATCCGCCGCCGGGCTGGGAAGGGAAGAGAAGCGAAGGGAAAGGAAGCGAAGGGGCCGCTGCGCAGCCAGGACCGCGGGGCGGGGGAGGGGCCAGCCAGGCCGAAGCGAGCCGCAGGCAGCGCCAAGCGGAGCCAGGGGGAGAGCAGCGCCGGGCCAGGCCCCGACGGAGAGCCAGACGCCGCTGCCCGCCCGGCCGGCCTCGCCGTCTCCCCTCAACGGAGCGAAGGTACCGACACCTGAGGCCTTGCGGGCTGGAGCTCGCCACCATCACCGGGCCCGGCGTGGGGAGGCCTCTGGAAGGCATTCCTCCTCCGGCTCTGGTCTTGCCCAGGCCTGGCGGGAGGAGCCCTGCCTTTCTCTGGGCCGAGGGGGTGGTGGGTGAGCGTGGCTGGGGAAGGGAAGGGAAGGGCGCTTGGCCCCCTCAGGGTGTGTCCCCGGGATGCCGTGAAACGGATTAGTCACCCCTCCGGCTGGGTCGGTGGATTTGGGGGACGAGGGCGGGAGCTGGTCCCTTCGACACGCCTCTCCTGTGCCATCCAGGCTCCGGGGTGAAACGGGGACTTCTAATCCAGTAATGACAGTGGTCATGGAACGAGGAGCGGGCAGTTAATTCTGGATTAACTAATGTGGAGCCCGAGGGGGGTGAGTCCGTGTGCGCCAGCCTCAACCGCTCCTTTTTGTCTCTGCTTTGAGCTCGCTGGCTGGCGTCAGGCATTGTCTTCCAGTGTGGGCTCCAGCAAACTTTCTTGTTTAAGGACCGGATTGATCCCATAGCTGCCTATCAGTATTTAGGAAGGGGAAGGATCTTTTTAGATCAGGAAATGCTTCTTGTCTTTAATGGTGACCTTTTTAACCGCGCACAAGCACCGTGGGGTTCGCCGAGTGAATGAAGCCACTGCTGAAATAAAAGCGTTATTTGCTTTTCTCTTGCAAAACTGCGCTGTACCCAAGGGAGGCCCAGTTTGGGTTAGCGTAACTGCATGGCTGAATCTTGGGCTTCCGAGCAGACGTTTAAATCTGTGCGTATTTTTATGAAGGACTGAGTATTGAGATAGTAAATAATAGCGAGGTTGGGAATGATTTGCAGGGTCCCTTGTATAAAGTGCTTGTTCCATTTCTAGGACATCCCTCTATGGAACTTGATCAAATTGATACTAGTCACTTTCTAAAAACAGTATGTTCATAGTGATATATATATACATTGGGCTATATTTGAATGTATGGAAATTGCACTTTTTATAATGAGAAGGATAAAAAGTTATGTTTGTTTTATGCAAAATTTATGTTTTTTGTGTAGAATTCCTACACATGTATTACTGAACAGTGAATACACATGGTTTGCTCCGGGAATGAAATGTAGCTGGTGAACACAAACTTGGCATGCATCTCTAAGAAGAAAATACATACATTTGCTATAAAAGGGACAGGGATTAGGTTGATAGGTTTATAATCTGGGCTAAAGTACTCAGATTAAATTGATTTAGTTCTATATAATTGTGTTCTGGAATGCATTACGTATGTTGAATTTAGCAAGGGCATAAAACTGTTCTAGACTGAGGTTCAAAACAACATCAGTTGATTCTTTTTGTGGCTTACCAGTTAGATCACATGTGGCTGTGGTTGGTCTCCCCAAGCAAAATTTTTCAAATGTATCATGCTGCCTGTCCTGTGCTCAGAAGTACGCTCCATTGAATTCAGTGTGGCTTACTTCTGATGCTTAGGATCAGTCTTTAATAGTGCCATCCAAAGCAGAGTTACATCATTCTAAACCTATTGACTTCAATGGATTTAGAATGGGCTGGCTGTATTTAGGATAGATCAAGATGGGTAGCCTTGTTAGTCTGTCTGTAGCAGTTGTGAGAGTCCAGTAGCACCTTAAAGACTAACAAAATCTGTGGTAGGTTATGAGCTTTTGTGAGTCATTGCTCACTTCAGATATTTGAAGAAGTGAGCAGTGATTCACTAAAGCTCATACCCTACCACAAATTTTGTTAGTCTAAGGTGCTACTGGACTCTTTTCTGTTTAGGATGACACTAAGAGTATTGGTGTATTTAAAGGTCTAGACCATGAGAAGAAGATGCATGTGGCATTTAGACCCAGGAGTTAGGTTGATATTAGCTGATGATTTTGGTGAAATGTTCCTCAGGCAAATCACTGCATCTTGTGATGGAATAGGCTGATAATAAGGGTCTCGGGTTGAAGGAAGAGTTGCAAGTAACTTTTTCCTGAAACATTATAGCATAAGTATTGTGGGTGTAACAGAAACAGTTCCTACTTTGATTTCTTACAAAAACATTTAGACTGTTTTACATTTGTAGTATTAAGCTGATTTGATGATGGAATCATCCTGGTGTAAGCTCTCCCAGTTTGGTGATTCAAACTTTAGTTTTAATTCTTTAAAATGAAATGATATAGGCAGTTTTAATGGAAGAAAATAAACTGTCAGCATATACAATAATGATTTTAAATTACTGTTTTTAACATAACAGAAGACATTGGGTGAAAATTTGTCTGTAGTTAGAAATTACATTCTGCATAATTGATTAGGGAAGATGTCACTCATTATGGAGAAAATATACATTACTAAGACTTTGGGAGTACATAAAAATGCAGAGACTCGGTGGGCTGGTCCCACAAACAGGGTGCTACATTCACAGATGGTCATCCTAAATCTTCAGAGGGATTTCTGTAGTTGGATGTTACAGCATAGCTATTCAGACCTGCTATATTAACAATTCTTTCACCTGAAAAGGCTGACGAAATCACATTGCGCTACTGCTATATGAAATAGTCTCTTATTTTCAGTTAAATGTTTGTTTATTGGAGAGTGAATAGAAGAAGAAGAAGAGATTGGATTTATACCCCGCCCTTCACTACCCAAAGGTGTCTCAGAGTGGCTTACAAACTCCTTTCCCTTCCCCTCCCCACAACAGACACCCTGTGAGGTAGGTGGAGCTGAGAGAGCTCTTGACAGAAAGTGCTCTTTTTTCCAGAACAGCTCTTATCAGAACTACGGCTTGCCCAAGGTCATCCAGCCAGGTGCAAGTGGAGGAGTGGGGAATCAAACCCGGTTCTTCCAGATTAGAGTCCGCGCACTTAACCACTACACCAGACTGGCCACTTGCTACTCAGATGACAATTTTCTGAACATTTGTTCAGTAATAATAGAAGTAGCTTTGTATTTAACTATGACGCAGATCGCACTGTCTTGAAAGACCTCAATGCCTTTCATATTTTACAACCAGGTGTCCTGGGAACCCATCAGTAGGAGTGTGCTCTACCTGGAGTGTTCCTCATCAACCTGCAGTTGCCACTTCACGCACACAAATTTTCCATGTAGAGTTTTTTGTTTGTGTATACCAAAACTGTATGTGCATGGAAAACCCACATACTGCCCTATTCATATGAAATGGCAATGTCTGAAAAGGGCTTGTATTATTGACAAGCATGTGAGTTTCTTAAAACTTAAAGGCCAAGTATATTGTTAGAAAAAATGTTTCATTTAAGACTGTACCTAATTGTCTCCTTGCTTGTCAATATGCTGGATATTCTGTTTTTAAAAACATGGTTAACAACACTGATTGATACATAGAAAAGCTGGTGTGCTCACCTTCTAGCACCACATAGAATGCTGCTACACAGGTCCCCTGACCTGTGATGGTAGCTTTTCAGAAGGGGAATAAATAGCTAACTTTGGATTCTGGCCATTATTTTTGCTGTTTCTGTAAACATTCATTGTGCAGCTACAAAGTGTATGTTGAAAATCAACTTGAATGGAAGTGTGTGTTGGAGTTCAACCCGAGTCTATTGGCAATTTCCATGTTGTGTGGTTTCTTTTGTAAATTTTATCACTATCACTCACAGATGCAGGGCTACGCCTGCTTCTGTAGAGTTATGTCAAGAATGCCTCACCTCCCTGAAATGTCTAAATTCCTAATATAACATGCTTGTTTTGGTAGGGAAGGGCTTCTTTTTATCATTTGAAATGGTTGACATTTTTATTGTAGCTTCATTAAGCTTGGGCTAATCAACCTATTGTTTACCCTTTCGATATACTGTGTAATGCTGGTCGTTGTCCTCATAGTTTTTCAAACTGTTTGGATCATGAATAAGCTATGGTCTTCAGAAAAATTTAAATGACATTCATTTATCATTGCTTATACATAAGGTTCAGTTCTGTATAGTTTAGAGCTTTGTAAACTTGCCAGAAGGCAGAGGATCCATGACTAATCAGGCTCTGATTTCAAGTCACAATGAAACTAGAATTCATTGATTTCTCTGAGGCTATGTGGGTGTGTATGCTATAGTGGAGACCTTTGTAAGATTGTTAATTACATTTGGATTTTTTAGAATAGGATGGTAAATGACATTTTTCATCATAAAAAGTCTAGTAGTGACACACAAGTATGACTAAAAGTGTAAACCTGACTTTATCCTAAAAACCAACAAACTGTCCTTGAAGGCAAATTTACTGTGGCATAAGCGTTCATGGACAAGAGCCTACTTTGAAGAAAGCAATAGTTCACCAAAGTTGATGCTGCAACAAATCCATTGTAAGTCTTTGAGGTCTCACAGTAGTATTTGATTTTTCAACAACAGCTATCATGGTTATCCTTCTGTGTTTTTTCTAGAAGGTAGCTGTTCTGAAATGTTCATAACATGTGTACTGGGTTTTTTTTCTGTACGATGCAGGAAATTCACAAATACCTCCCCCACCACCACCCGTGACCCCTGTTCCATGCTCAAAAGGTGGCAAAAAAACCCCCCTTCAGGATCCCTGGCTAAACTGGCCTGGAGAAAATTTGCTTCCTGACTCTAAAGTGGCGATCAGCATTTCCCTGAGTGTGTAAGAAGGGCCACAAGAACTAAGCACTGATGCAACCCTTCCTGTTCTCCCTCTCATGATCTGCCTACATTCACAGAATCAGCATTGCTCTCAGATGGTCATCTAGCCTCTGTTTAATAACCTCCAAAGAAGGAGAGCCCACCACCTCCCAAGGAAGCCTGTTCCACTGAGGAACTGCTTTAGCTGTCAGGAAGTTCTTCCTTATGTTTATCTAAAAACTCATTTGATTTAATTTCAACCCATTGGTTCTGATCCAACCTTCTGGGGCAACAGAAAACAACTCTGCACCTTCCTCTATATGGCAGCCCTTCAAATACTTGAAGATGGTTATCATATCACCTCTCAGTCATCTCCTCTCCAGGCTAAACATACCCAGCTT